GATATTAATAAGGAACCAGCAGATCAAGTAGCTTTTGGAATAAAACACCAATTTTTTTAAAATTAAACACTATCTAAAGATTTGCATCGAAGCGTTTATTTTTGATAGTGATTTTAATCACTGTCAGATATCATTTACTTGATCCAACTATGCCACGTCACCACTGTGCCGCGACCCCCCTGTGCTGGGTTTTTTTTTTAACTGCAAATAATACCGTGCTCTAGTAAAGAATAACAAAAAAATATGCTTTAAACGTAGTCTAAAAAGGCAATATAAAAAAAAAATCAATGATATTATAATTGATATTTGATATTATCAAATCATATGAGATATGTCAGAACATTGTGGGTAATCCTGAATATTATTGTAAGGGAAAAATGGAATGATTAAGTATATTGTCATTTAAAAAAAATTTTAAACATAGACATATATACATTTTGATTTCATTATCGATAAGCATTGTAAGTAGTCAAAATATAAAGTGAGCTTAAGCTCGAGTTAAAATTTTTCATCAATACATATAAAAACTTTCTTTTGTTTAGCTGATTTTTTTTTTTTCAATTATGTTATTAAAAAAACTTACATTCCTATTTTTTTATTAATTATTGATAAGAGTAACAAATAGCCTGTCCAAAATTTATTAATAAGGGAGGCTAGTCAATAACGTCTATATTTTTAATTAAGAAAAAAAATTTCAATTCTTATTTGAATAATGTAGAGAAATCTATTTATTTATATTTATTCNTTACTAATGAAAATAAATCTAATTATTTATATTTATTCAAAAAAAAATTTTTCAGAGTAAAAAAATGTTGGTTTATTTGAGATGTGTACCAGTATGGAAAATGCCTAAAAATTGTGTTGATCAGGTACACGATTTATAGAAAAATATTATTATAAATAATAATTTGTTTGAAATCAAAATAAAACCTGAGTTTGAAGTAAAATTCAATATTTTAGTAGCGAATAATTAGACCAAAAACAGTTATGATAGTTCTAAAAAAAAACCCAGCACAGGGGGGTCGCGGCACAGTGGTGACGTGGTATAGATGGATCAAGTATAATGATATCTGACAGTGATTAAAATCACTATCACAAAAAACGCTTCGATGCAAATCTATAGATACTGTTTAGTTTTAAAAAATTGGTGGACTATTCCAAAAGCTACATGATCTGCTAGTTCATTATTAATATCCTAATTAAGATAAAGTATGTAGAATGAAAAAGGGATTATTAAAAAATATTATTTCTTATAAAAAAATAATGTTGATCCATACACTTTTCAATATGTCATAGCATTATAAAGTTAAAAATGTAAAAAATAAAATCGAGAATTTTCACA